CTGACGTGTCTCTCGCGTGCGCGCGGGGAGCGCACCTTCATTCATTGTCCAGGCTCCTGCCGCCCGCGCGTCTGTTCCGTCACGGCGTTTTTTCTGTGGTCCTCCGTCTCCTGTCAGCGCCTGATCGCTGTGTGACCCCGCAAGACTGGGCTTCCAGCGAACTCCCTTGTTCTTAGTTGTCAGCTTCTGCTCCCAGGCGGACCGAAGAGTCCTGTGTCGCGGCTCTCTTCCTCCTGGCCTGTCTCTTTTCTGTGTTGGGTGCCCGATTTGTGTGGGTTAGAAGCATCCTGTGGCTGGGAAAAGTCTTCTTAGGGCTTCCGCTTTTTGTTTGTTTTTAAGAGGTTTATTCATTCCAACTTGGGATAAAGATAACTTAGATGACAAAATATAAGAAAAGTGGAAACTTTGCTTTCCCTGGCATTAACATGAACCTCGATTTTCTGATTTGTAAAATGAAGCATTAGTTTTAAGTGACCACTAGGATTCCTCCATTTTACAAGTATAAGCTGTATGTGTGGCATAATGAATGCTAACGGTCGGCCTTCCCAGGAGGTGTTTGGCAAAGAAAACGAAGCGAGGTTATTTAGTGGCAAGCATACTTTAAACGACTATGTCGAAGATTTTTAAAGGTTGGGTTTTGAAAATGACTTGTAATTTATGAGTACATGGTTTAGTCCTTGTTAGCTGGGGAGAACGCAAAGATTTGAAAAGGCTGACTGTGGTCCTTTGCATGCGTATACCGCTTTTTTTAGGCATTGCACATTTTGCCCTTCCCGCATTTTTTCCCCCTTAGTGACTTGCCACATCATCGTTTCTTTTTGAGGAGTGGTGGAAGAGTTGCTAGAGCTTTGAAGTGCTTCTGAGGGTCTCTCCTAAAACGTGATTTTTTTTACAGTACTTTTGCTTGCAAAAGTGTGATAATTTCTTGGTGTAATAGTTAGGTTTCACTTTATGATGTTAAGAAAGTGTCTTAAAATGTTAGAAGCTGTAGGTGAAGTAATAGATGCTTCTTTGTGTCAGGCTTGAAGTTATCAGTATATTTTTTGCTAAACAGTGTGTTTCCTGCAGGCTGGTTTACATGCTGCCAAATTGTTTTGTCATTTCAAGTAGTCAGTTCTGATAAGTGTTTCTTGCCTAGATACTGAGATGCTATTTTCTTTTCTTTCTTTTTTTTTTTTTTTTTGGTTAGGTTTTATTTTATATGGGGCATAGTTATATTTAGGGTCTTCTTCTTGTTCTTCTTTTTTTTGGGGGGGGCAGAAACAGGGATTGAACTTAGACCCTTGCGCTTGCCAGGGAAGCGCTTATTCTACTGAGCCATCTCGTTGGCCCCATAAAGTCTTAACTTTGCAAAACATTAACTTTGCATAATCAAAATTGTCTGAATTTCTTTATTGGGGTTTTAGGGCATCTTGCATTTCTGCAGTTAATTTTTCCAGCTGTTGGACACTTTTAAAAATCATACCACCTTTCCCATTAAAATTACCGTGACTTGTGTTGTGTTTTGCGTTTTTTTCCTTTTGTTTTTAGACAGGGTCTCACTATCTAGTCCAGACTGGTCTTGAGCTCATTATGTAATCCAGGTTGGCCTTGGATGTAGGGTATTCCTCCTGCTTTAGCTTCCCAAGTGCTGGGATTACAGTTGTACACCAGCCTTTGTTGAGACTTACTACTAAAATAAATAATATAAATATTCTTAGATGTATTGTAATTTGGCATCATTCAGTTTACTGCAGGGTAGCATGTTCTTCCCTGTACCTGATATTTTTAAAAATTGGTGTTCCCAGTAAAGTTCAGTTATTTTATATTTTATGGTTTAGGCTCATTAGCTGTGGCTCAAGATCTTACAGAGGATGAAGAAACAGTGGAAGATTCAATAATTGAAGATGAAGATGAGGAAGCTGAAGTAGAAGAAGACGAACCCACAGATTTGGTTAGTGTATTACACATCTGATGTATCTGGAGTGTGTATAATACATCTGGAAGTCTTATTTGTTCTTTCATAGACAGATTTGACAGTAAATTCTTCTAGAGGTTATGATCAAAGTGGATTAGAGAATAGAAATTAATCCTTGAGAATGGAGCATGAATGTGTTCTGGAGTAGAGGAGACATAGTATCCACAAGGAACAGTTCCAGATCTTATGGGTGTGGGTCATAGATTTGAGGCCCGTGTGCCAGCCCTCTGACTTTTCCTTTTTCCTCTTGTCTTGCTTACTGTCATCCAAAGCAGTCACTAAGTTGGGAAGCCACTGTTCCGTGCCAGTACTGTTCTTGACACCAGCATGAATAGATGAGATCTTCGTTCTTTTGGAACTCATGTTGGGACAGTGTACATGGGTCTTGGTGGCAAGGTGAAGAGCAGACAAACAACGAAATAGTCCAGTGAAGAATAAGGGCGTTAGAGGTGACTGTAAGAAGCCAGTCTCCTATTTCACTGTATAATTATAGTAAGACAAGAATATTGGGCTGAAATCATGATTGTTGAAGATACATCCAACTGTTTTCATTTCTTCTCTTGAGTGACTGGTCTATACAGATTTCTTCCATTCTTTATGCTGTATTTGCACTTAGAATCTTTTTTTTCTGTGGTAGTGGAGAGCGAACTTGGGACCTTGTGCTTGCTTGGCTGGCACTTATGCCACTGAGGTATCTCCCCAGCCCAAATTTAGAGCCTTTTGAGATTCTAGATTTTGTTGTTCCCCTCAAGATTAAGCTGCCAACCAATTTCCTATCGTCCTGATGCTTCATTATTAAAAGGTTAGCCATGAATGTAGATTTCTTCTCTGTTTTTGACTTCATTCCATACATATGCCTTCCACCTGAGCTGATTTTGTTATTTTGTTGTTTTGGGTTACCATTTTGGCACATTAGCACATGCTAATTCAGCTGAATAGAGTACCTCTGGATTCTTCTTCCTCCCTTTGGAAGCCTTTGCTGGTTACCTGTGTGTTGTCTTTTATGTATACTACACTCTCAAGGATTATGCTGAAGCTTTGCATCTTCAACCCAGTTTCTGAGATAAACAACTTTGCTAGATCAATATGTTGCTACTTAGTTTTTGGAAGTACAAATGCCAGTTGTGATTAAGATAGCTTGGAGCAGTGGTGGCAAACAGGTGGCGTATGTGCCAAGGGGGCTGTTTGTTACTGAACATTCAAAGGTTTACCATCACTGGCTCAGAGTGACTATTTGAAGAGAGTTTAGGATAAAAAACAGTACTTAGGACTTCAACTTTGGGGCATGTACAGAAATTTAGTAATGAATTACAAATCTTTGTGAAATGTCTTGGGCCAGGCATGGTGGCGCACACCTGTAATCCCAGCCCTTGCAGGCAGAGGCAGGAAGATGGTCAGTAGGGTTACATAGTGAGTTGAAGGCCAGTCTGAACTGCATTGCGAGACCCTGTGTCAATTTTTTTTTTTTTCACTTGGACTTTCGGGCACTGGAATGCCTTTCGTGTGGAGGCAAAGAACAGAGAAGGGAACTCTTGGATCTGATCATTTATGGTGCTGACCAGAACTTTTCCATCCCTTAGTCATTTTCTGACTTTGAGAACCCTCAGGGGCAAAGAGTAACTCTGATCACCCACTTCCCACCCAGCCAGTTAGCACGGACATGCTGGCTCCTTCTGCTCTGCTGCTTTTCTCAAATCAGAAAGTGGTTAAGGCTGAGTGAAGCAGGCAGGCAGACAAGGTGTGTCCTTTTCCTGCAGGTGAAGGTGTGGGCTTTACCGTTGCTAGTTGCTTCTTGAAAGAGTAACCCATACAGTTCTTCTCTAACTCTCACTTCTCTTCCATGGTTAGGTCCCATGGACTAGTGAAGCTGCTCTTGCTGAGGTCACCAGCAACCTGACTGTCAAGTCCAGGGTTCTGCTGTTTGTGCCTCCCTAGAACATCTGGTTACCCTTCCTGAAGTCCTTCCAGTTGGTTGTGTGGCACTCCTCTTGCTTTCTTCCTGTGGGCTCCCCTGCCAGGTGCTGCTGCCGTGTGCGCATGCTCGGTTCTGGGGATCAAATGCAGTGGTTTTCAGTGCCACTGTGCTCCATGCTGATATTACAAGTCATTGTCTATATACTAAGATGCTATTTTCTTTTTCTTTTTCTTTTTTAGGTTTTATTTTACCTGGGGCATAGTTACATTTAGGGTTTCTTAACCTTGTAAAACATTAACTTGGCTTAATCAAAATTGTCTGAATTTCTTTATTGGGATTTTAGGGTATCTTTAATCTCTGCAGTTCATTTTTCCAGTTGTTGGATACTTTTAAAAATTATAGCACCTTTCCCATTAAAATTACCATGACTTGTGTTGTGTTGTGCAGGTAGAGCTCCTACTTGGAATCTTCCCATCTTCCCTAGCCACTTCTGCTACCGATTCTCACAGACTTTCCTGTTGATCAGAATGAAGTTGTTGTAGCTGCTATCAGTGTGCTTGGGAGCAACGTGGGAAGTTGTGGCTGCCACCCAGAGCCAGCCTGCTCATCCTCCTTGTTAGCTGCTTTCATGCTGCAGCTAGAATTGCAGGACCTTCTGCTCTGCAGATGTCAACGTGCTGTTTAGCTCTTTTACAGGAAGGAAGTTTACCAAGCCCTGCTCCCAGACCTTACAGTTCAGAGTGTGGTCAGAACTCTAGCAGTGTTGGACTCCCTGATGCATGTGAGAGAGAGAATTTCAGGCTTCTCCCTGACCTGCATCATCATGCCAGCTGCTTCGCGCTTAGCGTGCATAGCAGTGGCACTGTCTTAGAAGTTTAAGTGGCGCCAGACAACGAATTCATACCACCAATACCAGCAGAGCTGTGAGGAGGCAGTGCTTTGTCCCAAATCTAGGGAGAGCTCCACAAATTTGGACAATGATGGCTTTTTTCTGGTAGTTACCTCTCTAACTTTGTACTTCACAGGCAGAAGATAAAGAAGAAGAAGATGTATCTGGTGAACCTGAAGCGTCACCAAGCGCAGATACAACTATCCTATTTGTAAAAGGAGAAGGTAATAAAGAATTACTGGTTTTGATTCAGAGGGAGAAATTTCTAAATGTCAGGCTTGTTTTTGGGGAAGCCCTGGTAGTATTTAAGATGTTTACCTTTGACATGACAAGTATTATGCCAGTGAGTATTTTGGAAGCTTATGTGTAGGAACACTGGTACCTGTGTAGTATTACTGTATTTAAGGGGAAAAATAAATGCTATCTGGTTCAAGTAGAAATTGAATGTCCATTTCAAGCAGAGTAATTTGTTGTATCTGAAGTGTTCGGGTATTAGTGAAGTATTTCCGGTTATGCTTTGGTTAGAACCTAGGATTCATGGAAAGAAAGTATAGTTGAGTGTCCCTTATCTGAAATGGTTGGGCTCAGAAGTGTTTTACATGTTAATTTTTAAAATCTTTGCATATTGGGGCCTGGGAGATGGCTCAGTAGAATAAGTGCTTCCTTGGCAAGCTCAAGGGCCTGAGTTGAATCTCTGGATCTGTGGGGAAAAAAAAAAAAATTTGCATATGCACCCTAAGATAGCTTGGGGAGGGGACCCAAGTCCAAACAGATACTCATTTGTTCCATGCACACCTCGTCTGTGTAACTGGAAGGTGATTGTTCACAGGGTGCTCGGGGCGCCTGTACTTCTCTGCATGCCATCACCTGAGGTCGTGTGGAATTTGCCACTTGCACCATCAAGTCAGAGCTAGAAAGATTCCGATTTTGGAGTTTGTCAGTTTAAGTTTTGGAATAAGCCAAAGAGTGTAAAGACTAATATTTAGGGAGGGTTCTATAGTAGGTACCGTTCTCGATACTTCGCCAGTCTTACTTAATTCTAAGAAGCCTTATGGAAGAGCTACTGTTTGGATGGGTCAGGAGAGTTGTCCAGGGATACCCCATGTATACATGGATTGCAGATTCAAGCTCAGGTCTCTGACCCATAGCCTGTGCACTGGGGGTGAAGCTCGGCTGTATAGACTACTGTCATTGAAGTATTGTCAGAGTTGTTAATCAGGCAGTGTGGAACTTCAGATGCAGCCTAATTCTTCCTGGCTTCTTAGTCTCAGATAGTAAGACTTAATGCTTTGTAGTACCTTTTAATGAAGCCCAGAGGTGCTACCTGTGAAAATAAATGAGATGACAGGAAAAATGTCAGGGAGGTGATACTCTACATTTGTCTGTACAGGTAACATACGGTGTTGCTTAAAATGAAAACCAACATTCTCTCTCCGTTTACCTGCATGGGTGAGCGTGTGATACTCTTGCCTCCACCATATGCATGCAGCCCTTCCTTAGACTACATAGTTTGGGTACAGGTGATGTCCAGTTCAGCCCCTGGCTTGGGACGCTGGGGTGCAGGAGACGTATCCCACCTCTTCCTGGCTCCAGCTGGTGGTCGTTGTGCAGCTGGAGGTCTCTGCTGAGAGGCTCTGGTGCCGGGGCCACACATGGCCACAGCAGAGGGTCAGAAATCCATTGGTCATGCCCAGGTTCATCTTGTGTTGTGAGTGTGTTCTGATTTTCTTGTATTTATTTTATTTCAGATTTTCCAGCAAATAATATTGTGAAGTTCTTGGTAGGCTTTACGAACAAGGGTACAGAAGATTTTATTGTTGAGTCCCTAGATGCCTCGTTCCGCTATCCTCAGGACTACCAGTTCTACATCCAGAATTTCACGGCTCTTCCTCTGAACACCATCGTGCCACCCCAAAGACAGGCTACTTTTGAGTACTCCTTCATTCCTGCAGAGCCCATGGGTGGACGGCCCTTTGGTCTGGTCATCAACTTGAACTACAAGGATTTGAATGTAAGGCCCTCTAAACATTTTTAAGCATAGAGACAGCTAGGGAGAATTGACATTAAATATTTCTCTGTCCATGTGTGTATTTTGTCGTTAAAGCTGGAATAGACAGGAGGGATACCCAGCTAATTGCACATCTCTGTCTTCACGTTCCCCCATCTACTGTCTTGTGTCTGAATTGTTGAAAATAGGCATGAATTGGCTAAGGACGCTTGTGTTGTGTGAACTGGGTGCTGTTGTGTGCTATGGGAGAGGGGAGCTGGAGCTCAACAGGGAAAGACGGTGACACTGCCACTTCCTTAGATGTCAGCATGTATCAAGTGATGTATTTGGGGGCTGGTGAGATAGCTCAGTAGACTAAGCGCCTGCCTGGCAAGTGCAGGGACTGGGGTTTGAGCCCTAGTACCACAGGCTACACAGGCCCCCACCCCTGGGCACGCTGAGCTTGCCACCGAGTCCGGGTGTGGTCGTGCACACCTGTAACCCCAGTGCTGGGGAGATTGAAAACAGGATGGTCACAATGAGTCCGAGCTGTGTAGTGAGACCCCATACCAAATACATTAAAAAAAATGACGTGTTTTGTATCTGCTTTTGTTGCTTGTCTTTTGCCCGTTTGTTGCTTGTAAGAGCCTAGGTAGATCCAGTGACTAAGGCAGATAGATCTAGAAGTCTTGCTACTGGGAGTTGCCTTATAAGGGTCCTTTGTTAGTTAGGTCCATTTTCTGATGGAGCACGCCTACACCCTGCCTTGTTCATGCTCCTCATCTCTAGGGTCGTAACATGGTCACCTTGTGTTTGAGTTTCTTGTGCTACACTTGTTTTTCTTTTTTTTAAAAAATTTTATTTTATTGAGAAACAAATATGAATGAGACAGTTTTAAAGCTGATTAATAGGATAGTTTCGATAATCAGTACATTGTACATTGTTATCTTCTTAGTGGTTATCCATAGTACAAGAAGCAGACAGGATATCCAGTCCAAACACTATTAGTACAAATCTTTCTTCTCATTGAATTAAGTGAAAGTAGCTATTTATCTATCCTATTTTGTATATACAAATACAAAATGATCTTTCCTTTGTATCCCCTTTTCTTTGTTTAGTCCTGTCAGAGGTGGGTATTTTATTGGCATCTAAATACTATAGGTGCTTGAATTCAACAAGACAATCCAACACTGTCCAGCAGTCTGTAATAGTAGTGGGTTATCCTTAGAAGTTATTGACTTGAGCCTTTTACAGCTCATCATATTAATATGGCTTTACTTTATATACCTCATTTTTATACTTTTCTTTTTTTTTTTTAA